GGGTTCAGAGGAGGCCAGTTGTATGGTTGAGGGCCTGTAGGCAAGGCCCTACGAGGAGAGACTGAGGGACCTAAATCTCTTCAGCCTCTGCAAGAGAAGGCTGAGAGGTGATCTTGTGGCTGCCTATAAATTCATCAGGGGAGGGCAGTAGGGAATAGGAGATGCACTATTTACTAATGCAGCCCCTGGAGTAACTATGAACAATGGCCACAAATTGACAGAGAGCAGATTTATGTTGGACATCAGAAAGACCTTCTTCAAGGTAAGGGTTGGCAGAATCTGGAATGGGCTTCCAAGGGAGGTGGTGCTCTCCCTACCTTGCGGGTCTTCAAGAGGAGGCTGGACAAGCACCTAGCTGGGGTCGTCTGACCCCAGTGCTCTTTCCTGCCCAGGGCAGGACTTGATGACCTACTGAGGTTCCTTCCAACCCTAACATCTATGAATCTATGAATGACACCACCCCCTGTGCTCTTGCAGGCTTGCAGACCCAGAGCCCAGCTACCCCTCGGCCCCTTCCTGTTTGGCCTTCCAGTCATTTTTTTTAATGCTGTTTAGAGCCTGCTGAGGCTGCCAACGAGCTGAATCCAGCCTTTTGTGAGGGAAAAGCCTGGGAATCCAAGTGACTCGGAGGAACTCTTAGTTGCATAACTGTAGCAGTAGGACTTCCAAAGGGCGAATGACTGCTCTGCTGAAGGGCACTCCAAATAGAAGAGGCATCTCAGAGCACAGCTGCTCCTGAAGCCAAGGGAGGCAGGAAAGTTGTCCCCCACACTCTTATGTACTGATAGCTCATGGCTTTGTCCTGAGAAGCACCTTGGCCTGGAGTGGAACTGTTACACCACAAGGCATCCTATGTAGGATGTGTCGTTACTTTAACTCTCTGCTAAATCTTAACCCTGACATGGGAATGTGGCTGTGTCTAGCCCTTTATTGGGCGGTTCAACTGAGAAAAGCTCTATATTCTATATACTTGCAGAGCTGTGCAAGAGTTAGGGTGCAGTTTACCCACATTTGCTAGACTGCATTAAAGACAGATGAAGGCTCTGGGGATGGCACATTCATTTTGTGCTTGTCCCTGATTGGAAGGATGATTAATGGCCAGCTCAGAGGAGAAAGACAGCTTTGGGGCTGTCAGTAGCCTGGCAGTCCAGAGATCTGAGCTTAGTACTAGCTCCGCTACAGGCTTACAGCTGTGTTTGGAATGAAAGTGCACAACGGTTCTTGTTCTTTCCTAACAGGATTTTCCCTTTGAGTAATAAAATACTGGTCCATCCCTATAAAAGTCTTTCTCCTAGACTGCCAAAGTACTCACTAAGTACCTAGTAGGAAGAGTGTGGTCATAGCCTGCTGGGAAGACCAGCGGCTCTCTCAGGAGGAGGAAGATTTCCTCTGTGCATGTGGAGAGGGAGCACTGCTTTTGGAGCCTCATTCTTCTAATCCATTCCTTTTTCTTTTTTCTTTCCAGTTTGTTGCTCAGCCAAACTGCCAGCAGTTGCTAGCTACGCTGTGGTATGACGGCTTTCCAGGATGGAGGCGGAAACACTGGGCAGTGAAACTCTTGACCTGCATCACCATTGGACTGCTATTTCCAGTGCTATCTGTGGTGTATTTGATTGCACCTAAGAGTAGGCTGGGACTGTTCATTAAAAAGCCATTTATAAAGTTTATCTGCCACACCGGTTCTTACTTAACCTTCCTCTTCATGCTCCTGCTGGCATCACAGCACATCGTCAGGACAGATCTCCATGTGCAGGGACCACCGCCCACCATCGTTGAGTGGATGATCCTACCCTGGGTTCTAGGTAAATGGGAGGAAATACAAATGTGCCTCGGCCTCCTTGGTCAAACTCATGCCAATGACACCTACACGTAGATTAATTGCTAATCTCAATGTCATCAGTATGTAAACAGGTTTGGCAGCCAAATTCAGAAACTTCATTAACAGCTCATGTCCCCCAGGAGCGACCTATCTGATTGGACTAGGCCTATTTTGTTATTTTTATTGCATCAATAAGCTAAGCTGTCCCTTTTGACACAACCCTGAGTATGCTGCAGTAACTCAGGGCTGGATTTGAGAATCACTGTCCTGCTTAGTTTTGCTAAGAAGATAAACAGTGGATTTAGATAGGATGGTTTGGACAAAGGTGATCCTGCCTCAGGCAGGGGGTTGGACTAGATGGCCTTGGAGGTCCGTTCCAGTCCCACTTCTCTCTGATTCTGTAATTTCTTCTTTGCTACCCAGTTGCTGACAGTGAGGAAGGGGCATAGTGGGTTGTGCCTGCAACAAACTGCGACGTATACAATGTGGGTTCAGCTGTGCTGACTGGTGCATGGGTAGGAGCAGAACCAAGAGTCTGCTTTCTCCCTGCCCATTCTCCACCCATCTGTGCCCAAGGGTAGTACACAGGTATAATGCCCACGTAAACCTGCACACCCAGACTCAACTTCTGAGTAGTCTGCAAAGTGGCACAGAGGGAGAAGTTGTACTTCTTCTGCCCTATGCCATAGTGCTGCCATACAGTCTGCAGCACCATTTAGCTCTCTCCAAGCCCTCCAGGAGAGGGGGAGAGATCCAATTACTAAAATGCCAAACCAGAAGCTGCCTACTCCAACTTGATTTGGGCAATCATAATTGTGGAGGAAAAACAAGCGTCAGTGTCTCAGGTTCCATGCTTCATAAAAGTAAGGATGAAGTGGGAGGATGGGATGGGAACAGATTTAAAGAGCCATCGTATGTGTAAGAGCAAAGCAGCACATCTTGATCCATTTTGATGAGTTAGACACAATTCCCCTTTCACATGGAGCTGCCTTGAGCTCAGATGCAAAGTGTGGCAAACAAAACCTCGTGGACTTGCATAGAAAACAGAAACTTTTCCTCTCATTAGGTGCGTGTCTGCCTTCTTGTATCAGATCTTGCTCTTGCAATAGAACAACCAAAGCCGCAGCATCCCGGACTGGTGGCTCACTTACAAGATCCTTTAACAAACTTCTGCCCTTGGTGATGAAAACTGGGTCTCAGACTGAGAAGCCTACCTGCTGAGGATGCGAGGTGGGCACACCCCATGGCTAGCCCTTGCATTCCTATAAGAAATGCTTTCCCCAATTGAGAGGCTTGTAAGGTCAATCGCTTGTGAGGCAGTTGTCCTTCCATGCTTCCCCGAAATGCTGATGATGTGGCTGCATGACATCACTAAGCTATTTAGGATGTGATTTCACACAACAACTTGCGTATGCTGCTTTTTACCGTATTGTCATTTAACCGGAACAGGCCAGGGGCCCACCATGAGGTTTGGTCCATAAAAAAAAAAATCTTTATAAACCTTGTGGGCTGGGGAGAAGGGGTGTGGGATGCCCAGGTTCAAGGCACTGTTCTACCAGGGTCAGAGCAGGGCTTTTCACCCTCGTTCATGCCCCGTTCGCTAGAGCTAGAACTGGAACCTGACTCAGCAGCACCCCAGGCCAGTAAGTCTACCTGCCCATCTATGAAATCTCTCTTTGAAAACCTTCTACCTAAAACTTGTGAACATGGCCAGGCCCTGCAGAACTTTTCGGTTGTGATGAAAGAGCTCGTATCAACCAAATTTCACTCAGCAGACAATTTTCCAACCTGGTCTGCCACTAACTGCTCTGTGCCTGACTTCCTCAGGCATAAATACAATAAAGCTTTTGTAGCTCACAGGAGTGCTGTGAAAGGAAATTAATTCAGATCAGATTCAGCCTCTGTCTCTGGCTCCTTTGGCTGTACTGATCAAATTTGCCTTAACATGGAGGCTGGGAGTTGTCCGGACACAGTGGGAGTCCTTGGCGGGGGGGTTTCCAAGTGGCCTCGGACCAGCTGGAGGATTGGTGAATGATTTTTGCACTGCCAGCCTCCTTTAGAGGAATAAACCTTCTGTATCTATAATCGCGCTCTGCCGGCATGTTGTTTCACTCCAGAAATTCTTCCTAGTCCCCAAATCTGCAACTGTGTAGGAAAACTCCTGGAAGAGGAAGGTGAATAACCAGATAATAGCAAGTATCTATTCAAAAGCCCTTTCTCAAGCTTACATACTCAAATAGGCATTTTTTCCCTAAGACCAGAACCAGTTAGATAATGCCAAACCCATCCAAATACTGACAAAAATTTGGTAGCTAATTTTTCAATATTGTGACAAAAATGTTGGTTTTATGTGTACACACCTGATAAGGACCTTTTCTACCAAAATCAAAATGTGAATGAAAAGATGTGAGAGGGGAGGCATTACTCAAAACATTCATAAACTATTTGCCATTGGGACCAGCTCTTTCCTAGATGTGGGAGACCTTAGGCAGAAGGCAAGGGTAGGGTTGCATCTTGTAGACAAACTTGTTTAAAGAGTCGCGAGCTTTCGTAGGCCACAGCCAACTTCATCAGACGCTATGAAAGGAGACATTGTTCTTAAGCATGCCCTGCCCCAGCTATCTTCATCCCTACCCCAGCTCTCACATAACTTCTAAAAGGGGCCTCAAGCCTGATTATCTGTAGTCTGCAAACAATAGCCATGTGCAATTGTGTGTATGCCTATATTCAGACCCCAGAGTAAGCAGCCAGCCTATTGCTTCTTCGTAATGTTTTTCCACTGAAAACTTCATGTTTAAATTCTTTGGTGTTATATGGATATTTCAGGGGGAAAAAAAAGATCTTCAAACAAGCTGATGATGCATTTTGTCAGGATGAATGTATGATTTGGGTGTTCTGTCACAATTCTATCCTCTTCTTTTTCAGGTTTTATTGTGTCAGGTGAACAGAGATATTGTGGGTTTATTTGGTAAACAGAGGAATTAAAACAGTATTTCCTCTGATCTATGGCATATATGTATGCAGTCTCTTCCACGATAAAAATGGGAGAGAGAGAGAAAGAGAGAAAGAACAGGCACGTACAGCACAGACAGCATTGCAGTAACTATAGTAACAATGCTAACAATGATTACTCACTATAAATACAACATATGGGTTCTTTAGAAAAAGCCATTCCATTGATTTTTTTTTGTGCATGCAAAGATTTGAAAGCAGCAGCAATAAAATTACCTTATTGGTTATGGCATGGTGCTGACCTGACCGCTGACCTATCAGTTATAAGTTAATGAGCTGAGACTGATATCTTTGTGTCTAAAGAAGTTATCTTTTGTGTTACCTGTTCTTCATGTTGAACTTCTAGGGCCTACAAACTAGACTCAATTGTTAACCCGCTTTGGAAAACCACACCATAACTCTGTTGTCATGGGTTTCTTATGCATCAAGAAGCTAAGAAACCCATGACAACAGAATTATAGTGTTGTTTTCCAAAGTGGGTTTTATACACACACACACACATGCACGCACCTCTCTCTCTCTCTTTTCCCTAGGGTTCAAGTTCAATGATAAAGTTAAGTACAATGTTCTAAATGCAACAATACAAAAATATCTGGGGACTAGCAAGTAAAATCTTCCCAAGGACTAAGTCTGCCTACACATGAGCGGAGGTGTGGGGGCAAGGAGGGCATTTTAATTACAGCAGTTCCCAGACAGCCACTCTAAACCAGTTCACTGTCACATGTGTTAAGCCCCCCCTCCCACATTTCAAAATGGGTGCAGGGCCACTTTAATTAAAGCTCATTCAATGAAGTTTAGTTAAAGAGCTCCCACAGCCACTTTGAAGTGCAGGGGGTGGAGGGAGGCTTAATACACATGATGGTGTGGCAACCCTGCAGCGTTGTAACTGGAACCTGGAGCAGACTTGATTAACTGAGTCTGCTCCAACGCATTCCAGTTAGAACCCAAATGAGCACATCTATAGGCAGCCTAAGTGATTAGGAGACAACATCCCATTTTCAAAAGTTACTTAAGCACAAAGGAACCTAAGTCTCACTGACTAACCATGGGACATTGATGCCTAAGCAACTCAGTGACTTTCACAAATAAAGTATAAGCCCCTAAGTCACTCAGGAATTTCTGAAAATGCCATCTGCAGTGGCTTAAAGGCTTGGAAATGGGATTTGAAGTCTTTCTTCACTACTATAAGCAAATTTAACCCACTTTAAACTGAGAACCTATTGAGAGTAATTATCAGCTGAAGGCTGTATGCTGGCATTTATTAAATGAGTCAATAGTATCAGTCCCATTCCTATTGAATAACTGTCCACATGAAAAAAGCCAGCACTGCTGTTGGCATGAAATGGAACTTGTGGAGCAAGAGGCGTTAGATAGAGGGCTAGGTTGTGATACCATTATTCAAGCTGACTGGTAGTTTGCTTCACAAATCATCACAATGGGCGTATTGATGGAGCAAGATGCTGGTTAATGAGAGTACAGAGAACAAACTGTCCTCTGTCCTTACTGGATGTGATATTTCCAGAGCAGACCTAAGGCTCAGTAAGAGATGGAAGCTTGTGTTAGTGTTACATGCACTGAGGATAAATGCAAGGAAAACTGTCTTCAAGGCTGCCAAACTGATACCTTTAAAGAGCCCTGAATTCCCCCTAGATCCTAAAGTGATACAGTCAGATAAATAGATTCACACAAATAATGCATTTAAATATGTAAAAAATTCATCTGGGACAACCCACCAAGTTTCTAAAGGGGAACTTTGATTTTAAGATAGTTAAAATTAATAGGCAGGTAAGGTTCTTTGAGTAGATGTGATATCTTTTATTAGACCAACTGAGTAGTTGGTCTGAAGTTCTTAGCAAGCTTTTGCGTGCAATCACCCTTCTTCAGGCATAGGGAGTTTCTGCTGTGAACAGAGAGACTCCCTATGCCTGAAAAAGGGTGACTGTGCATAAAAACATGCTAAGAACTTTTTTACAACTACTCAGTTGGCCTATGTCCTTAGACCAACATGGTTACAACCAAAAACCCAGCAGCATGTTAAAATTAATATGTAGTTCATGCAATGTCCTTATGCTCCGTACCTGAAGCACTCAACAGGAGTGCTTATGTCTGCATCATTTCTCTTCTGACTGCATTTTCTAGTATGTAAAATACATTATTACATTTTGTAGAAGTGGAAAAGGATGAGGCATTTTTTCCAAGCTGTTAATTTATAATTGCCTCTCATTACATTGGATCTTCTCTGCCTTACTGGCCCAGTAATGTTCCTTCATGCAAATCAATCTCTCTTTCTTTCTACAGGTTTTATTTGGGGAGAAATCAAGGAGATGTGGGACGGTGGATTCAACGAGTACATACATGACTGGTGGAATCTGATGGATTTTGCAATGAACTCACTCTACCTTGCAACTATCTCCCTTAAAATTGTTGCCTATGTCAAGGTACAGTAACGTGGAACGTGTATGTGAAACCTCCCATGCACAAGAAATTACCTGTGAACGCTAAAAATTCCAGACGAAAGAGAACAGATACCCACATTGCAAGTGGTAGCAGGTAGCATCCTGATTTTCAATCTCTGTAAAAAAGCCAGTGATTGAACTGGCTGGGAGAAGGAGCCTCTTTTTCATTGCTAGGGATTCTTCTGCCAATTAGGGTTAAGGGACACTAGGTGGGTGTTGTGTGGGACGTGCTAAGCCCACGCTCACAATCTATTTTTCTTTAGGTAAAGAGTCAATCAAAAGTTTCCAGACTATCATTGGACAAAATGTAACGGTGCTAAAATCCAATTAAAATCCAAAGTTTAAGATGAAGAAAAATTACAGGGTAAGGAGATCAAAAAATGAGAATTTTAGATTGTAAATGAGGAAAATGAGAAACCGGACAATTGGAGCTTTGAAACTATCCTGTTGCTTCCCTGGCATGGTGCCCCATTAAGTGGGACAGTGCATATCAGACTTCATCCTGAAAAGCACTTTCCCCATTTCTGGACACCTGATGTTCTAAGTTAATGTACACTCAGGTGCAAAGCCAAAGGATTGCTTGAAGTACTCAATCTCCTACACATATGCACATGCACACAAAGACACGTACAATATTCAAAAGGCATTCTTGCAAGCCCACTACACAATCACTTCTCCTAATTTCAGTGGGAGTTGTGTGCTTGGAAATCTTCTAGGATCAGGCTCCCAGTTTTTTTCCTACTCTGTCTCTTGTCCACAGAGTCTCTGGGGTTGGATTCTCCTCTCATTTTGGCATGAATCAGGAGTAACTTCATTTTGGTAGGTGATTTAAATCAAATGTAAAATCAGAACTTCCTGACCTAGAGCCCTGCTTAAACAATGAGACTGTCCTTCCCCATTTCTTCCTTAGGATTCTGCTTCTGCAGACCATACACACGAAACTATAGTCCAACTTTAGCTGCCAATGTTTCAGCAAAGTGCCTGAACCTAACTCTCGAAAATGATTGGATCCTCATCTGGATCTATACTTTGTGGCCCAAAATGACAGAACAGATTCCCTGAATCCCTATCTATCCTCTCCCTTTCTCTACCAATTTCTGCTTTTTAATCTGGCTCCATAATATGATTAGTTGACCACATTTTGAGCCACCCATGTCCATAACACTTGACAGAGATATAGGAACAATGATTTTCAGTACATTTCTCTCTGGGCTCAAAAATATTATTTATTCCACTGGTATTTATGTGATTGCCTGAGTGAGTATAAGTTACTTGTGTGTCTTAAGTGTCTCCAGGATCTATTAGAGTCTTTGGAGCACAGATTGTCTGTGCCAGTCCCAAGCACAATGCAGGTAATAGATGACAGGGAGTACTTTAAAAGTTAAGGAGTACCTGTGCTATTTGTCTTTCTCATAATGTCCACTTACAAAGTCATAAAAAAATAATGTAAAATAAAATAAGGACTCCTTTTCCAACTGAAGCATGAAATGAAGCATAAGGGTCTGCCTTTCCACATGGAATTGCATGTGTCCTTTCTTTGTGCTGAATATAATTTTCCCTCCCTTCTGCTTAACAGTGCATTTAACCCTTTGCTGCTCTGTGGCACCAAACTGTCAGAAAGAATAATAAAGCAATGTGACCTAGCAGAACTGTGCCTCTGAATGGACTGGGCTCTTGCTGTCTACACCTAACAAATATCCATATTCTAAAATATATATATATATA